GGGGGTCAGGGAGGTACAGACAAAAAGGCCACAGTGGGAAAAAGAGCATGTGAGGCAAACCTCTTGTTTGAATGCAGCTGTGCAAGGGTATAAAGAAGCTCTGTTTGCTTTTGCTTTGTTCTGCTCTTCTGTGCACGCTAAACACCACCCAAAGAGTGAGACACTCACCTGTGGAGAAAAAATGAGGGAGCTGTCCATGGTACCAAAGGCAGCAAGCACCAAGGACAGCAGCAGGCTTCCCTTTTTTTCCCCCAGTGAGAATCAGCTGACCTTACTAACAATCACGTGGCATCAAATTTAAGGGTGCATTCTTTGTGATCCTTAATTGCTTCCTTCTCCACTGTCGTGCAGACAGCAGTCATATCACCTCATTTAGCTAATGGCAAAACACACATTTGTCTTTTATAAAGTAACTTAAAAAGCAGCCCACCAACAGAGCAGCAAAAATGTCCTAATAAAACATTAACTTTGAATGAAAAAAATGAAAGACAAAGTAAAGTTCACTTACCTGCACCCTGGAATTTAGTTTCATCACATACAAAGTTTAGCAATAAAATCCCCCTTTTTTGTCTTTTTGCCTGCATAAAAAATGGCTTTGTGCATGGTAAAGTGCTGAAGGACTGATTTTTGTCATTCAGCGCATAAAAAAGATTGGAATACCTTTCAAAATCAGACGAGAATAATTAAATAGAAATTTGGATGAAGCGTTTAATAATAACATGTTTACTTCTGAAATCATTAATTTGTTTTTAAAGGACAGGGTGGGGTTTGTTTGCGCGTTGCAACTGTTTATGCAGGCTGACAGACCATCACAACACATATTTTTCAAGGACCAACATCTGAAGTGGTTTGAACATCAGTCACCTTTCTTTACTGAGAGGTCTTCATAAAATATCTCTGCCGTGCAGCATCCAGGTCTCTCCCTCTCCGTAGTTTTATTCATAATGCAGGAGGAATAAAGGCGATAATTTAAACAACACAAGTAATGTCCACAAACCCTGAACCTGGGATTTTCTTCAGTCTCGGTTCCTACAGCACTGAAGAATCTACGTGTTTGTGCTGATTAAATTTATGAAAATGTTCTTAAAATCAGGCAAACACCCCATCAGGTTGAAGCAGCTGGATCATTTTTTAGGTGCTCGCTTTGCACTGCGAGCTGAAATGAAGTCTTAAATTGAAGGGAAGAAGTGGTGGATGGGAATATAAATCTAGAACAGGTACATAAATAAATGGGAGACATGGGGAGGGGGAAAGAAATTCAGCCCTCACACCCAAATTCAGACCTCATCTTCAATGCTCCACTCCCCTCCACTCTGCACCATCGCAGCCCAGACACCTGAGCAGACCGCTTCCTCCCCTCTCCTACCTCCCTCCTATGCATGCGGTGTCACCCCAACCCCAAAGGCGCGCGCACATGTACGCTCAAGACCACCTCCAGGGCCCCTCTTTGGCAGGGCCAGTCCCAGGGGAGAGGTTAGTATGATGGATGTCTGATTGGTAGCCCTCCCTTAGGGCCTCCCTCTCCGTCACCTCTCTGCGCTCTGAATTAAAAGGCCGTTTGTCTCCTCTGAGTCCTCAGCTGTAGAGCGCCGGCCTGCAATTTCACAGCACTCAGAGAGAGAGAGGGAGACCATTACAGAGGAGGTTGTCAGGGGAGCCATCAGAGCCCGGACACGCCTGAGGGACTCTCTCGCTCCCCTCTATCTTCCCTGCTCCTGTCTCCTCCTGCTCGGTACCACCAACACCTCTATCCCACTGGAGGCAGCCAACCCTGCCCTCACAGATAAATTCATATTCAAGCATGTATGCACCTATGTGCATATAAGATTGCATAATTGAATGCACACGTGCTTGACACGCATCACCGGGGGCATTGTTATTTTTAAATCTACCACTCGGTCTTGGTTCTTAAATAAATTAACACAATCAATTATTTAAAAATAAGTACGAGAATAAGAAAAAGAACATCACATTCAGTCTCTCAGAAAAGCCACCTTGAATTCATTCATAGTCTGAATTCTTTCCCGCAGGATTTGCTGCCAAAGCCTTACTTGTTTTTGTTTTTTTTAGTTTAAATTGTGGTGGCTAATGTTAGCCAACTTTAGATACTGCTGTATAACTGACATTACTGAGTCAGTTTGACTCCATCATATGTGATGTTTGACAGTGTTAAATATAGACTATATAAAAGATAGATGTACAAACCAGTGGATGTAATGTCATCCACTGGTTTGTGAAGCCTCTACTTGAGCAATTTGTCTGTCACCATCTTGTTTTTGGGAAACCAGATCTCAGAAGTAACGAGTAGATCTAACAAAGAAATCAAGGACACCAAACACTCATTTAACAGTGACTTGTCAATCCTACAGTAGGCCCACCGTAAAAAAAATACTGTGCGCTATTCATCTAATAGCGAATATAAAATATACATCATGTTATATTAACTATGATTTGAAAATACTAATTGAGATCTTCAAATCATAAAGGTAAAGTAAATAATATCAGACCCAGATGCTCTGTCAATCTTTCATGTACATTCTGTGTTTTAAGGGCTACTTGTCATATTTCTTAGCATACCTTTGAAAAGTTTCTCTTTCAGGGCATTCGTTTAAGTTATTGTGTGGAAAGGGTCATGCTTATTTGTAGAGTATTGTATAGTTTTTTTGTATAGCACATTTAAAACAACAAGCAAAGCGTTTCACAGGTCTTAAAAAAACACACACATATGTCAAGGTTTAGCTCGAATTAAAGGCCAGAGAGTAGAAATAAGTCTTGAGCAAATAGTTAAAAGTAGAAACAGTTTGAGCAGTTCGATTATGAAATGGTAAGGCATTCCCGAGACTTTGGCAGCAATTGAAAAAGTTCAGCCACCTCTGACAAGAGTGTGGACATGAATAAGATCAGGTCTTAAAAACAATCAATAAAATCTTAAAATGAATCATAAAATTGACAGGAAGCCAGTTAAAGTGATGCTAAAGCTGGAGTTCATGTTTTCTCATCCCAGTTAAAAGGCGAGCAGCAGCGTTTTGTACCAGCAACCTATATACAAACAATTACAGTAATCCAGCCTTGTCATAATAAGAGCATGTATAAGTCTTTGAGTCCTTATAAAAAAGATATGGCTTTGGTTTGGCCAACAATCTCAACTGGAAAAAAAAACAAACAAAACTCTCAAAATCTCAAATTCAAAGTTTCCACTTCCACGTGGTTAATTTGTTGTGAAAATTGTCTGCATGTATGTCATACACATGTATTTTCCTCCAATTGAGAAATAAACCATTAAGATCCATTAAACTACCACATATATATTTATATATTTGTGTGTGTATGTGTAGCACAGGCTGTGTGTAATTTCAGTTGAATTACTATTTTAAATTGCTTAATAAAAGCTCGATAGTAGTTTTTTTGTTTGTTTGCTTTTTGCAAAAAGACAATAAATGCCGAGGACTGTATTCATACATATTTATAGGTCTAGTGAATATTTCTGGCAGAACGATGGCATATATAGGGTTGGCTCGTTATAAAATCCAGTGATCCTTTTCATTAAAATGAAAGAACACATAATTCTGGAGAAAAGTCAGTTATTCGTGTAATTTAGCCATTTTTTTCTCCGAGAAAATGAGGACTATGCTCTAAGTAAGAAGCTACGCCGGGCTTTGAGGCATAGATAATACAAGTAGGACACAATACATCTTTATAATATGCCTTTTTTGAACTATTTAAAAAGATTGAAAAATGAACATGCGCATTATTCGAAGCCTCAGAACTCAGACCAGGCAGTACAGAATTAACATTTAGAGTCAGAAAAATCTTCCCCCCTGTGAATTTCGCATGGCTTCATTTTGCTGTTTTGCTGTTTGGTGTTTTTTAGTCCCTAAATACGATCGTTATATTTTCCCCTCATACACCTTTCAAATTTTCTGTTCAATTAAAACTGCAAAGAATTTGTTTTGAAAGAAGCACTTGGAATTAGTTTTGTGTGTTTTTGTGCTCAGCAGGAATCTGCACTCATA